CATCAAAGGAATAAATTACATTTTCAAATATATTCAATTAGAAAACTTTTTTTTAATTGTAATAATATTTCACAATATTACAGTTTTACTGTATTTTTGACCAAATAAATATAGCCTTGGTGAGCAGAAGAAACTTCTTTTATTTTAAAAAGCCCTACCAATCCTAAACTTGCAAATATTTTGCATTTAAGATTTACTATTTTAAGAAGGCTATAAATCTAGTAAAATTTCATGCATATTTCATGCACATTTTATGTAGGTTTTCTTTGCTGATGTAAAACCATTAAATGAGTTTACACAGAATTAACTTCAGATGAGTATCAGTAACATAGGCCTGGATTAGGACTAAAATAGTCTAATGTAGTTGTTCACTTGCACAAGTTAATCTGAATTGCTTTCACAGATTGCAGACCACATGATTCATATCCCGGACGTCAGAAAAAAACCTTTTGAACCAACCAAAATAATCAAACTCTGACTACAAACGGACCACAAAGCTCTAGTCTAAAGCCCTGAGGGAGGTCAAAATGTCCATCTAATTTGGCCAGAGGATGTTCATTGTTCTTATTTAACTTTCCTTTTCTTAATCAAGCAACCATTCAATTTAAACTTACTCAAGCTGGGTCAAAATGTCCTGTTGCTTTTAATTTTCAACCCCTTTAAATTTTTAAGTGTTCAATTTGAGAAAGCCTTCTCTAAGAACTTTGGCAGACAATCAATACCTCCATGGGAACCAAAGCAGTCCTCAAAATCAAACAAGTGATTGAATTTCAGAGCAATGTACTCTCTACCCATGAATTAATTGACACAGTCGACTTCTAAGCTAAGACGTAATTTAGCTCAAATAATACCTAATGTGCTTCTGTAGCTCAACTGATGAACAGATATTAGGAGTGCCAAAGTCACCAACAAATAACAATGTAAATCTGCTGTCAGATTTGGATCTGTACAATGCATCCTGAAAAATGTATCACGACTGTTTTCTACATTGATGATAGTAAGAAATGTTTCTTGAGCAGCAAATCAGCATATTGGAATAATTTCATATGAAATATGTATCAATCCTTATACTTCTTGTTTTAAATAACATTCAGAAATATTTTATCATTGCAGCGTCAGGCATAATTTTTTTATGTTATTTATTTTAAGTTTTGGGAATTTTGTGTATCGTGAGCAAGCAGGCGTTGAGCTTCAGGCCAACCGGGGCTCGAAAACAGTGTGAAATTAGGCGTGACCGGACTAGTTATTTCCTTTATTTCTTTAGTACTGTATCTGCCAAAGCCTTGATGGACAGCTCACACTCATAAACCAATAGTGTCTGCTGGGTATCAGCATTTGAGCCTTGTGATTCAGCCCAGGTAAGCAGAGGAAGCTCTGCAGTTGTGTACTTTTTTTTTTCATTAACTTTGATATGTATCTGTCTATCACACACACACACACACACACACACTTTCTCCTTCTTCCCAGGTCTCTTGTTCGCCCTCACCAGGCACAAACACACACTGTTTTGAGAGTTTTATTGTTTAAGTTTGCCCATGACCTGAGGGAAACTGAAAGAGTAGCTTCCTGTCACTCAAAAAATAAGCAACAAGTAATAAAGCAACAAAAAAAAAAAAAGGAAAGAAAATGCTTCACACCGCTGGCGAGTCCATCCTCCATGGGATGAATGACCTTCTGTCCCTGTACATCACCTAGGTCATCACTCACAACCAAACAGCTCTCTGCCATTGGCTGAACTACAAACTCGTAAAGGTGTCGAGGAATGAAGACAAAGTGCTCTTAATGAAAGTGTGCAGGAATGGGATTTATTTATCGGTGGTCTGGTAGCCTAGTGGTTAAAGATCAGACCTGGTAACTGAAAGTCATCCATGAACTATCATTTATTACCGACCTATGTAGAACAGGTCACTGAGAGACTGTCTGTGTAAATAGATATATTTCCAAAAAATATTTAAAAAATAATAAAAATGACAAGCATATAACAAAATTACTAATATATTAATTAGTATAGTAATTAATACATACCGTAATATTAATTTGTTTTTGCATTACTTTAACCCATGAAAATAAGTTGAGCAGTTTCAACCCTTTTTGATTTGAGTTGACTTGATTGTGTGTACTGTATGTGTATAGATATATATAATATATCTATCTATCTATCTAGCTATATATATACATATATATATATTATGCACACTTGAAAAATTTTAAGGCAGCAACTGAACTGTGTATAGATAATAATACAATAACACTGGCAACGTCAAACCTGATGTGACATCTTTACATGTGAATTTGAATTGAATAAGATTTAAGAGCTGTGGCAAAAGGCAAACTTGAAATATAGTGACGTATAGCCATATGGACTTTTTTATTTATTTATTTATTTTTTAACTTAACTGTCTCTATTATAATGAACACTATGTATATTCTGCAATATATGCTGTCTTCCACTGAAGAAAGAAAATCGTACAGATTTTGAATGACAAGATGCCATGTACTCAATTTGTGCATCATTAAAGCTGCGTAATGAAGTTCATTAGCTGCTGTCAGGTGACAAATAAAGACTTTATTGTAATTAACAAAGGGGTTTGTTAGAGAACAAGCCAGTTTGTTGAAATCCTTGGGTCAGAGGTTGTTGTAGGGACTCTATAAAGTAGTTTCTCGTCATGTTGTTGTGAAAGTCTTCCATGTTCCTCTTTAAGGACAAAGTCCAGGTCGAGGTCATTGTGAAGACTTTTATTGCTGCTGAGGTTGATTAGCTCCGACAGGCTTTTTCCATGACTACTACTTACCTCTATATCGCAGCCACGTGGGTTTATTTTGGTGTCATTCGTGACCCTGTGATGTCAAACACGTGAGTGCTGAATCCGTGCTGAGGATAGAGGCTCTCTACCAGCTGAATCAAGCTAAAGTTTTAAGGCTTTCCTTGTCCATTGTCTCGTTTTCTGTGCTCAATGTTGATTTGAGCTAGAACATGCTGTATTATATCCCTAAAAAGAAGCAGATATATCTATCCGACTTTCTGAAATGCTGTTCTGAGTACTTTTATAGACGCATCATGCACAGAATTGCATTAAAACCACAATCACACAGTGCTAGTGTTGATTTATTTTGATTCTCAGCTGCATATCTAGGACATGTTCCATAAATGAGGATTTGGATGCATGTTCCAGCATGTTCCCTGCTGCGCACGACCTCATCTCATCCATATTTTGCCACACATCTGGAACTGTGCACAAGGGTTAGGGGATGGAAGATATTGAAATTCAAAATGCAAGTTGGTATCTTTGTGAGAGAGCGGATGAGATCAGAGTCAAATGAGGGCACAAGAGTGAATGAGGTGTATTGATTATGACTGACTGTCACATGTCTGTTAAACCATCATGAAGGCTCTTACTGGGGTAGACATTGAGTTTTATACTGTTAAACAAATCAGAGACAAACCGACACAACCGAGTATATGGGTGTTTCTTCCAGTATGGGCACTTTTAGGGACTTTTAACTTTTAGGGAAATTAAACTCCCTTAAAATACACTATGAAATTCCCTTAAAATACACTTTAAAAATGAGTATAGTTCATTCAAAACATACATCATAAAGATATGTTTATTTCCATTTCAACTCAAATCACCAATTGTTCTGTGGTGTGAATGACATTTTAAACATTTATGCAATAATGACTCCTTTGTTTAAGGCTATTTACATAGCATTTTATATATCTTACATACACAAATGAAATAATATTTCACTTTTTTCCCATACTTTGCATGATTTCTAATCAAGCTGAAATTTTGACAAAATAAAAATATTCTTAGATGTGATAGCTGATATTTTTGTTGGTTGTGGTGGTAATTCAATTTAAAACTGTATTTTGATTGAAATATTTATTTAGATTGAAACGTATTTAGATTGAAAATGTATTTAGATTTTACAGTAAATATCAGAGTGGTATATATTTTTTTCCATTCTTAATGTTAACCATATTACTAAAAAATAAAATAAAATAAATATTTTAAGATTGAAAGTGTGGGTCTGGAATAAAGATATAACAATAAAAATCAAACATTGAGAAACAAATAAACATAATTGTTTTATTTGAAAAATGCAGTGTTTTAATATAACCTTAATTAAAAAAAAAAAAAAATGCTGTTGTTGAAGGAACACACTTTTTGTAACAAATTGAATTAACCAGGTAACCCATTGAATTTATAGTCCTAAACAGGGCTAGAAGTCTGGGTCTGTCTCCTGAACAAATCTTTTTCTGTTTCTCTAAATTTCTTTATTAACTAATCATGTCCTTCCCTCACTGTTATTGGGTTCATTATATGGGTCTGGTAAGGCAGAGCTGTAATTTCACAGCTGAGAGAACGAGGTTACAGAAGCTCCTGTCATTAGTTCAATACAATATGTGAAGCATGACTCTCTTCACTGTGTGTTTTGGTCTGGCCATTTAACAACAACAAGACTCAGAAGAGTAGTTTTCAGGTGTCTCATTTCAGGATCTGTATTTCCAATTCAAACAAACTAAAACATTTCACAATCCTAGTAGAAATAGATCACAAACAGCCTTGTGTCAGCTTGTAAACCAATACATTTTGGCTGTGTCCTGTATTGAGTAATTGGCCCGTTTCTTCTGAACTCCTTGTCCAATCATCATGAAACTTACTATGCATTAACAAAAAGACATTTCAAAGAGACGCACCAAATGTTATTGAATTCCCTCAAAAGGGGGCGCTATAACTAAACCATCCTCAGCTATTTGACTAAGGAAGTTAAAATTCACCTGTACTGAGGAAACCTTGGCCATTTTGTCTCTTTGTTTTTTGGTGTTTGTGACTATATTTATCACTTTTGTCTCTTTGTTATGTTATAGCAATCTGGAGGAATTGTTGATGCCTCTTGTGCTTTTCTCGCTTTGATCTGTGGGCCAATTTACAGCCGTCTGATTGAATGTCGCTTCCATGTTTCTCAATGTATATATTTTTATTTCCAACCCACAGGCAATCAAATCACTCTCGCCATCGGGTTGTCCTTCCTTTACAAGCCTGAACAGAACCCAACCCAAGGACAGACGGACAGGCACATAAACACGCTCTGATTTTTGCGAGACAAGGTGAGCAAGTTCATTTATAAAAGAGCGAACACAAAACAAACCGCAAAGCACTCAAGGGTTCCAGAAAACAAAGGCCAGGCATGTCAATCAGGCATTTGTTACCCAGCTCGTGCAACATTTCTCCAAAAATACAAGATTTAGCCCGGTGAAGTGTGCATTCATATCTTATTTTTTGTGTTGGTGGTGGTGTTGATTTTGTTTTTCAATCTAGTTTACATAATGGTCTTGCTGGAGGAGGGAAAAAAATCAGTAGACATGAATGACAAAAACACTTTAGGGGCAGAAATTGAGAATTTTCAGCTGATTTGCACACTCAGAAAAGCATTTGTATTCAGCTGGAAAAGACATCTTGACTCGTCATAAATATTAAACACTCTCAATTGGCGAATGCTGATAGATTCTCCCGCTCATCATTACCTGTATTGCATAAACCTCACTCAGCCAAACAATTTGAATTATAAGTATGATGAGGCCGAATAGACCATCTAATTGGGCTACTTTGGAACCAAATCCAGCTCTTAACGTGGGATTCCGAGAGTATCTGCATAAATTAAGGATAAGCTCTGGACACAGACCCTTATCTACTTAATTCTGAGGGATAACCTGAATTTATAATTCTTCCGACTCAAGGGCCAATAAGTTGAGCGAGCGAGACTGTTCATGATGGCGAGAGAGAGAGAGAGAGAGAGAGAAAGAGGGCTGCTGCGGAGAGCTGTTTTAATCTCACGGCTCCTTGGCCAAAGGTAGAGAGATCAGCACAACCAGTGTTTTCTCGGTGCGCACTACAACGTCAGACAGGGAAATAGATGTGAAAGTGCAAAGAGAGACGTAAACAGTTAGGATGGGTCGGAGCCGCTGAGCTGACATCAGGTTTTGCTTCAATAAATGCACTTTGTTTCTTTATTACGCAATTTTATCCATCAGGATTTAATCGGATGGCGTAAAGTACATTTAAATAATACGCTATGAAGGCTGTGTAGTTTTCAAAGTGCTGGTAAAATATCACATCCATAGCTATGATGTTACAAATTATGGGTCTCACCAAAAGCTATTTAACACTCACTGCAAAGCAGCAACCCTGTGAGACAAATATACAGCTAGAGGAGGAAAGAAAAAAAAGCACTTTGTAAAAGACCTAGAGCTCTGCTTTTGAACAATTCCTTGTGCAGTCAGTCTGTCTATGTGAGATGATCTATTAGTTTGTATATATGAATGTGTGGCACTTTTAATAGATTTTAGAGCTTTTTCCAGGTTGAAATCACCATTGATTTCCAACAAAATTGGCTGTGTGTAATTGTTTTGTGAGCATACAAAAGCATTGTGAATTGCAGTGAGCATTTGTGACAGAAACTGTGAAATCTCTTATGTTATATGACCTATTTGTTTGTGAAAAACACTTATTTTTTGAGATGCAGACAGGTATATAGACATATAAATGTGTTGCACACGCCGGTGTAGTTAAACATTAGCATGTCTAATTTAAAAGCTTAATAGTAAAGCTGTTATTTTACAGATATCAGGCTGAAATCACCAGTGAGAACAGCCTCAAAAGTCATTAAACATTCAAACGTGCATTCAAACAAATGTTTTCCTCTTTTTTCCAAGAGTAAAGCTGTAATTTATAGATTTTAAGGCTTTTTATCATTGAAATCACCAGTGTTTTCTAATAAAATGGACTGTGTGTATTTGTTTTGAGAGCATACAAAATGGTATATGAACATTATAAGCACTTTTTGCATGCATTTGTGAATTGCTGTGAGTATTTGTGAGAAAAACTTAAATCTGTTTACATGATATGACTTATTAGTTTGTGAAACACTCATTTTTTTAGATATAAATGTGTTGCCCAAGGTGGAGTTTAGTATTAGCATGTCTAATTTAAAATCTTAAGAGTAAAGCTGTTGATTTATAGATTGTATGGCTTTTTTTCAGGTTGAAATCACAAGTGAGAAACAGCCTCAAAAGTCATAAAAACTGCAAATGTGCATTCACACGTATTTTCTGTTTTCCTCCTTTCACACATACATCTTCAATGCAGAGTACAATGCAAACAGCTCGGCGTTTATTTGTGCATTAAATTACAGAAATAAAATAGCCTGTGTGTATTTGTTTTGTGAGCATACAAAATGGTGTAGGCTATAATATATTTCAGCATTTTGTTGCATGCATTTGTGAATTGCAGTGAGCATTTGTGAGAGAAACTGTTAAATCCATTAATGCGAAATAAAACCAGAGCACAGACAGTAGTTTTTTTTTCTCTCCCCTCGCCGCAGTGTGCCTTAACTACTTTTTTGTGCATTTTCTAAAACAGTGGTATGAACTGACCTTTGTTGAAATGAGGGGTTTCATAACACTTTAAGAGAGAGAATTAACCATTGCCCATAAAATGGTGCCGTGACCCGGACAGCACATCTCATCTGCATTGCATGAAAACAGACGCACAGAAAAAGCACATTAAGACCGATGTAAAGGCCTGTAATAGGAAAAGAAAGCGAGGAGAGCCACATAAGACTGTTAAAACATTAACAACCCCCTGGAATCAAAGTCACCTTAGTAAAAGTGTTCTAGTCTGGCTGGGCTACATCAGGGGAATGCATAAACATGCAGGAGGACAGAGAGAGACGGAGAGAGACTGAGTATTTATTACGAAAATAAATCATTTTAACACTTAGGCCACCCACTGCCTCAGACTGTGGGTAATGAGTCCTGAGCCGTGAGTGAGAAAGAGAGAGCGATCCAGCGGCTAATTCTCTATTTAAAGTCGAGGCTTGGAGCCGTGTGAAGTGGAGCTCTAATGAAGGTGGATTGTGAAGGGGCTTTGTCTCGGTTCAGACCGGAGTAAAAAATGCTGCTTGTTTGTGTAGCTAATTCTCTATTTAAAGTCGAGGCTTGGAGCCGTGTGAAGTGGAGCTCTAATGAAGGTGGATTGTGAAGGGGTTTTGTCTCGGTTCAGACCGGAGTAAAAAATGCTGCTTGTTTGTGTGACCGTCAAGAGCTCCGAGTCTGTTCGCAAAACAACTGCTGTTGCGTTTGAATGCATGATGCGTTTGGATGAATTTCACATAACCTGTTTATACTTACACTGTATATTTCACTATGAAATCAGAAGACAAAAATAGAAAATTGTGTTATGGAAATTATTTTCCTAAAATATGAGTTAAATTTCACCCTCAAATGATTAGTTTAACCCAATATCCATTGTAAAAAGCAAAAAAACAATTAATGAATGTGAAAAAGAAAAACATATAAAGAATTGTTACGTCATGCTAGTATTTGTTGTACATTTGTTGTTGTATTAATGTGTTGTTTTTATGCTAATGCATGGCGTTAAGTAAAAACTAATATTTTTACAGTAATTTTTATTGTATAAAAGTATGCAAATGATCACCACTGAGAATAATGAGAATAAAGTAAAACATCCAATTCATATTAATAATAGGAATTTTGGAATGAAATGTGCTTGAGGGTAATTTAAAAAAACTTATTTCAACACAATCTCAAATAAATAAGAATTCACGCATCATGCTAGTATTTGTTTTACAGTGTTTAATTTATGGCAGAAAAAAAAGTTTTGTATTTTTGTGTTTAGATGTTTTTATTTACCTCATAAAAAAAAAACATTATAATTTTTTTATTATATGAAAGAATGCAAATCGCCACTAAGAGTAATGAAAATAAAGTAAAACATCCAAAGCATTACGTTAATAAGTATTTTGGACGGAAATGTGCTTTAAAGTAATAAAAATCATGAAAATAATGTCACAATGCAAAAAAATCTTAAGTTTTAATAAAAACAGCCTTCAGTTTCTTCACTGAAAAAAATTGCTAGTAAATTTTTACAAATAATTACAAATCAACAAGAAACGGATTGAATTAAATGTGAAATTGTGATGTAGAAAGACTGAAACTGAAAACTTAAACTGTGCTCTAATTACGCCAAAAATTATTTGCATTATATTTTTACATTCTTACAGATAATGATACTGTCAATATGTTTGCCTGTTTTTCATTTATGACTTTTTGTCACGTTGTACCAATACTGCTAATATGCCGGTTACATTAGGGAAATGGCATTCAAAATGTGCTCAAAATGATAGGATTACATTGCTGTTGTCGATATATACTGTATTTCTCTGCCCTTCAGGCACTTGATAACATCTTAGGAGAACTGAGGCTTTACTGGATCCTCAGAAACGAGGCTAAAAGCCTCAGAGAGCCATGACCCTGTTTCTCTGTGCAGCCAGAACCAAGCGTGCGTTTCTGCTGAGCTCAGAGCCGCAGTTCTCCGGGAGAGTGGCGAACACATCAGGGAATAGTAGATGGCTTGTGTAGCTGACAGTTTCTCGAAGTAAGCCTTTGAAGTCTCTCATTTGTATGTCAAAGAGCACAGCGCTCAATTGTTTCTAGTTTTGGGAATGCCTTCTCCTCCTCCTGACTTTAGAAATCGTTTCTGATTTCCAACATAAATTATTTAAAGGGTCGACAAGATTTACTTTTTTGTTCTCGCACGTTACCAGGCCCGCTGAGCGTTTTCATCTTCACTGTCTTATTAACGTCGACTTTTTACTTTCTGTAAAGTTTGTGTACAGTGCTTTGTATCTGAATTACATAGACTGTACTTTTATAAGTGATACAGGGTTTTGAAAGGAAACTCAACGTACATTTACTGATGACCTATATTACTTGGTGTAAGAATAGAGCGCAACAGGCACAGAAGTAAAATTGCCATTCATTTTGTCCATAGGGACAATGATTTTTAGCGATAACTTTAAAGATAGACCTACTCTAAGCTCTGAGGTTGTTAATCGATGGTATATGCTTTTGTTGCCATTAGTTCACATTATTTGAGCTTATGTTTTATGTTTAACAGTGGAATCCCTGGTGAAAAACTACATTACCCATGATGCTATACAGAAAATTCTACCAATCAGAGAGTTGCAGTGAGCAGAGCTCCGCCCACTCCAATGAATCTTCCTACACTCTCAAAACACTTAATATAT